CCCCCCACACACACACACACACGCACAACCACCCTCTCGCCGCCCGCCCATTCCTCGCGGCACTGTGGACAAATACGTTTATCGATGCCACGCGATCTGTCAGTTGGAACGTTGCTGGCACGAGCACTCACACCGAGGAAGCAGGCGCGAGCGAGCGAGTGAGTGAGCGCGCACTGGGATATATGCAACGTTGGTGCCCTCCAAACGAACAGGGAATGATTCCTAGTAGTTTTTACTTCCACCTGATCTTCTGAACTTTCATGGGTGAGTTCTTGTTTAAACAATGTATAAAACACCGAATTGTGAGGACTCGACTTTTTCTTCCCCATTTAATAAGTAGCATACACAATTACAATTAGTTTTAGGAAATCGTTAAAAATAACCACACTGTGTATAAAACATATGTATTTAATAGACCTGATCTTCTGAACTTTTACGGGGTGAGTTCTTGCTTCAACAATGTATAAAACACCGAATTGTGAGAACTCGACTTTTTCTTCCCCATTTAATATGTAGCATACAAAATTACAATTAGTTTTAGGAATTCGTTAAAAATAATAACACTGTGTATAAAACATATGTATTTAATAGACCTGATCTTCTGAAATTTTACGGGGTGAATTCTTTAAAACAACTTCTATAAAACAACGAATAGTGTGAACTCGAGAGTTTTTCTTCCCCATTTATGTAGCACACAACATTATGTAGCATACAAAGTTACAATATTAGTTTTCAGAAATCGTCTAAAACAACAACAATGAGTACATATTGTATTAAATAGCCCCGATCTTCTGAACTTTTACGGGGAAGTTCTTTAAAACAGCTTATATAAAACAACGAATAGTGTGAACTCGAGTTTTTCTCCCCCATTTATGTAGCATACAAAATTACAATTAATTTGCGGATATCGTCGAAAATAACAACAATGTGTACAACATGTATTAAATAGCCCTGATCTTTTGAACTTTCACGGGTGAGTTCTTGCTTCTATAACACAAACGAATTATGTGAACTAGAGTTTTTCTTTCCCCATTTAAGTAGCATACAAAGTAAATAACAACAATGTGTACATGTATTAAATAGCTCCGATCTTCTGAACTTTTACTGGTAAGTTCTTTAAAACACCTTCTATAAAACAACGAATTACGGATTTTTCTTCCCCATTTATGTAGCATACACATTTACAATTAGTATACGGAAATCGTCGAAAAAAAAACGACAATGTGTACAACATGTATGAAATAGCCAAGTCGTGGCATCTGGAAATAGCAAATGGGAACGTATCCTAAAGGACTTTTAATTTGAAAAACGTTCAGAGTGAGAGTGATGAAAATTTCAAATACAATAATAATACATACTGTATGATTAACTTTAGGTGTCTTCAAAAATACTTTAAAAAAAAACCCCTTAAACTTCTATACAGCTTCCTGGGGCAACATTGCCCTGCCTCAAGACATAGTAAATCTATTACGGTATTCAAAAACATAACAATAATATTTTTTACTCTAAGGCTCCTTTGTGTTCAGAAAGAAGCAAACACTTTCAGCAATAAAT